CAAGGTTCTTTGTAACAAATGGACAGGATTTGCTGGTGGATGACCTCTAAGATAATTTTGCCAATCGAGTGAGTTAATTTGCTAAAATAGATACTTTTGTAATGTTCCACTTGTCCCTGGGTCCCTATATCCACTGTCTTAATATCTCCATAATCAGAACCTGCAAAGTAAAATCTTGTCCCTGGAACTTGAGAGCCTCCCAGAAGATTCCAAGAGACCCCAGAAGCAGGTGAATTCACAATAAAATGTTAATGAGTAATAATGACTTTATGTGCTATTGTTGTATAATGAATTTGGCTATCTTTTGTCCCTAGATCCTGAGAGATAATTTCTGAATCTTCAAAATTTCCTGAGTAAATTTTCCTGGGTGTCCTTTTTCTTCCTAGTGGTCTATAGGACCAGGCCTGACCACATCTTGTTAGTCAAGCTAAAAAGATGATTCAGGATGGGGGATGGTCATACCAGACAAGCTAACAATGATTAGAGGTTTAGAGTTTGAGCCAGTAACATCAACTAACCCCATAGATACTGAGTTCAACTACCTGACCAATGACTCAATCACAACTACATAATGAAGCCTCAATAAAAACTGTGAACTCAGAGACCAGCAGGTGGCATGGTGGTAATGGCACTGGACTCCCACATGGCCAACCACAGTTCAAGTCCTGGACCTGGCAGCTTGCTTTCTCATTTTCCCTCTCTCTCGCATGCACACATGCTCTCTTTTGCACTCTCTCTCTCTCTCTCACTCTCGTTCTCTCTCACTCTGTCTCTCTCTGGTCAAATTAAAATAAATAAATAAATAAATAACGTTAAAATAATTCTAAAGAAAAAAAAAAAAGTCCGGACTCAGGGTCAGCAGGTGGTATGGTGGTTAAAGTGCTGGACTTACACATAGTATATCACGATTTGAGTCCCAGCACTGGTGGCTTGAAAATCATGCCAGGTGTCTGTGCATGCATGCCCAAAATTCCAGAAGGAGATGGAGGAAAAAGAATTGTGGCAGGGTTATCCTCCCTGTGTGTGGGGGGGGTGGGGGGGGTGTCTCACTTTCCCTCTCACTGTCTGTCTTTCTCCAGTGAGCACACTGTGTAGCAAAAACCTGACAACATTCTCAGAAAAGTCTGGACTCAAGACTCCAGTGAGTTTCCTGATTGATGATACACACCAATACACTGGAAAGTGGTATTTTCTGAGGTCACAGAGGCTTTGTTATTGGGATTCTCCTGGGCCTTCTCATGTATCTCTTTATTTGACTGATTCTAATTCGTAGCCTTTATCATAAAATTGTAATTGTAAGTATAGGGCTTACCAAAGTTCTGTGAGTCATTCCAGTGAGTTATCAAATCTGAGAGCACAGTGGTAATCCTCAATTTCATAACCAGGTGGTCCCATAGTTTATGGCTAGGATCTTAAATGGGGGAATCTTAAGGAAGACTTTACCCTTAGCTTGAGACCAGTGATAACTCGAGACACTTGGTATCAAGGCTGCATTTTAGCAATGCTTTTAATTAACTTATTTGCACACTAAGAGGCTGTGGGGAGGCATAATTTCTTAGCCCAAACTGGTGACTAATGGTGGAGGACGGAGTTGTTGATACCTTTACAGGCTCAGAAAATAGATATTTTGGTTTTGGCAATGTGACAGACAGAATTCTGAAATGGCCTCCAAGATTCTTGTTCCCACGTAGCCCTCACTCTTCTTGAGCAAGAGGTATACACATGACAAATCTTACTCCTGGAATCTGGCTGTGCTACACAACAAAGATGAGGGGACTTTGTAGATGTAGTCAAGGTCCCAGGTCAGCCTGCATTGAGTACAAAGCAGAAATTATCCTGAGTGGGACTTACTTAAAAGATTCTGGGCCTTTTGCAAAGGAAAAGTTTCAAAGAGTGGAAGAACCCCTAAACGGTAAGGTAGCAGGGAACTGAGAGCAGTCCCATTTTCATCCTGACTCCTTCAAGGTTCTACCAAAAAGTGCATGAACTTTAAAGAATCCCAAGTTTCAAAGGGGAATGCAGCCTACCTGACATGATGATTTTAGCCTTACAAAAGGGTACCACCCTTTCAGAAGAGAACCAGCTCAACCATGCCCAAACTTCTAGACATCATGACATAATAAGTGGGTGTTGTTTTAGACCATTAACTTGTGGCAACTTGTTTTTGCAACAATAGAAAACTAACATCTTGGAAAATCTGTACTAGTAGGAGAAGTAAGAGGGTATGAAGTACCAACTTTGCCAACTTAAGGGGAAAGCAATCAGAATGGGAGGGAGACATGAAACCAGATTCTAAGATGGAAATCCAAAGGAGTTGTGGGACTACCAGGGGTATTGGACATGCACAGGTGTCTAGAAGTACACTATGGAAATGGTCTCAACATAAACAAGGAGATTCCAACACTCTGAGATGTCTAAAATGGAAGTGCTTCCTTTATTTTTTAAGCTTCTAATTCATCTCTAAAAAGTATACAATATATAATTCAATTAAATTAAAAATAAGAAGAGAAATCCAGGGCAAACAAGCAGAGACTAAAAACCTAATAAGTGAACAGTTGCCAACCACTGGCAGCTGATTGGATTTCAAGGCTCCCCAGACTGCAATCTCTGGGACTCTAAATTTGAATAGCACTCCAAAGGCTTGGTACCACTTTCATCAATAGAAGTGAAGTAAAGGATATAGAAGTGAATTGAGATGGTATTGGGCCAGAGATAAGGTGACACCTAAATGCTACTGTCTTCACAAGTTTCCCAGAGGAAAAGCATAAATTGATGAAAAGGAAGACTCTAGCTCACTCAGGCTTTTGCCCTAAACCTCGGGGTAGAATTCTACTAACCCTAACCACACCCTATGGAAAACTCCTTCTTCTTGTCTGGGGAAGGCAATATTTTGTCTATTTAATGGTAGTAACGTTCTAAGTTTTCTTCTGCTTCTCATCAGATGCCTATCCTTCCTTTCTTCTGCAATTTTTGTTTGTCTTTGTTTCAAATTCTATTAATTTTGTCTCTTGTTTACATTAGAAGCATTCTCAAATGCCTGGTAGGCTTCAGCTGCCTATAATCAAGACCCAGGCATTCAGGAACTTGTTGGAAGTATGGCATGGAAGGGCAAAGTTTTCCCGCTGAGGGGAGGAGGGTCGTTTCATGGGTTGTTTCTGCACTGAGGAGTGAGGAGTTTTACGTTCCAGTGGACATTTCCCCAAAGGCATCTTCTCTCTCGCCATTGTGTACACTGCCAGCTGGAACCTGTCAACACTCTGTCTACACTCTACCTACACTGTGGTGGGAGGAGTGTCTAAGGACTCCTGGGCTTGGACAGGCACAAGACAGCTGCCACTGATATATGCCATGAAAAATGTCTTTTCTATAAGCTTCCTCCATGGTTGCCCATTTCCATGCAGAAGTGTGCGAGATACTTGGATTCTCTTCACACAACTAAGTCTCTTGCCGCGCTGCTCTCTCCTGACCTCCCAAATTTCACCGTTATTGAAATATTCCATAAAGATAAATGCAGTCAGAATAACTGAGTGCCCATCTATCACAAGATGGTACAACTGTCCCCTGATCCACACAGAAGCCCTCCCTGCTGAGCATTGCTGACTCCATCTTCAGAGGAAAAACCAAGCACCACGGCTCCCACATGAGTCTGACACCAGACCACACTTCAGGCCATGACACCACGGCTGGCCTTTGCCACGCCCTGTGGAATGTACTTTTGTTCCTGGAGAATGAAGTTGCTGGGGGAACAGGGTGCCAGCATTCCATGTAGAACTGCTGGGCAGGGCAGTGGAGTATAGTAAGAGACTGCAAAACATGCTGCCTGTCCTGCTCATCTGCCTCCTGCCTGTGGCCAGTGGAAAGAACTGCCTCCTCTGCTGGCCTGAACTGCCCGCCTTGATAGACTATGACCTCCAGATCCTGTGGGGCACCCCGGGGCCCCCTGCAGAACTCTCCCAGAGCCTCCACTCCTTGTTCCTGGAGAATAATTTCCACGAACCCTGGTATCTTGGTGAGACATAACCAGGAGACCAGGGATCAGGTCTGGCTCCTTTACGTGATCTAGGACCTTACTCCCTTGACTTTTCTCTCATACTCCATCCTCAGATCGTGACCATTTGGAAGAAGAAATAGCCAAATTCTTCACTCAAGTAGACCAAGCTATTAAGAAGTTACGGGATGGTAAGGAAACCTAGTGTCCCAGGGCCTAGGCCGTGGGTTGCCAAAGCCCAACCCTCCAAGGCATTCTCAGAGGGTGTGTTTGGCCCTGCAGTGGAAGTTTTGGCAATGGTGGAGGGTGGACATAGCATGTCTCTGTGTGCTCTATGAAATGTCTGTGTGAAGATTCTGATCTCAGACCCCAACCTTAAGGGAGTTACGTCATTGAATACTTCTCCCCTCCTATTCCACCAGATAAACCATTACTTCTAGAAGACATTCACATGCACAAGAGCCTCTTTGCTGATAAGCTGAATAGCAGATCTGAGGTGCTAATGGAGAAGGGTGAGAAGTGGGGCTGGTCCCTGCCTAATCCTAGCCCTTTGCCCAGCATGGAGACCCAGGCATGTAGAGTCCAACATGCAGCCCCCTCCATCCTTCCTCAGGGTACCCATCCCTGCCCAAATAATGGGCACCTGCCACACCTTCCCCAATGCCATTGCTCGCTCACACCCCCGACCTTTCCTGGCTTTGTATGCCTCCCAGAGCCTCAGTTTCTTCACCATCTCACCCTCCTGGGCAGCCTGCAACCAATCTTGTGGTAAGTACTCTAGGGACTGGGCTTGGGTGAAAGATGAGAGGGACACCTGGTTACCTCTAAGGCTCCTCTCCACTCTCTATCCTAGATCTAAACTCCACAGTGGAGGTCACCGAATGTACCAGCTGTAAGATTCACTTCCTCTCCTGCAACGACCCCATGTTCTGCCCAGGTAAGTGCCCACCCACTACCCTGTAGCCATTGTCGTGTCTGTCATTGTCATGTCTGTCTATCCTCTCTGTCCAGCCCAGGCTCTTCATCCTCACCCTGTGTAAAGGTAGCTCTTCCTAGGAATTGATGTCCACATGCCCAGCTTCAGAACCTTAGAGCCATCTGCCTCTCAGATGCCTCTCCTGAGGCCCCTCAGGTCCAAAGCCAGCTTGCCTGGTCCAACTCCATACCTACCCACCCTGGTCTCCCTTCAACGTGCTTCTCTCAAATCCCACTCAGTCATCATCCTCCTAAACTAGGAATCCCCCCCCTGACCTTAGCACATAGAATTACCAAGTCTTGCTAAGTAATTCTTAATGTGTTCCTGTATTTTCACTCTAACTTTCACTGCTCTTCTTTAGGCATCTTCATCTCTCACCTGAGCTTTGACAACATTTTCTTATTGGCCTCTCTGTCTCTCCTGGCCGCATCTCAATCTGCCACCAGAGAACTCTTTTTCAAGGAGCAAATGTACATATGACATCCCCTGGTTAGAACTATCAGTGGCTCCCAACTTTCCCCAGATTAAATCCACCCTCTTCAGGAGGTCCTATGTGAGCAGCACCTGTTCATCTCCTACCTTCTCTGACCCACAGCCACTCCAAGCTGTGGGCATTCTGGACATACCAGAAGCTTCATGCTCCTCTCCTTGAGCATGGCCTTAGTCTGGACTGTTTGAACTGAACCCTTATTGTCTTCCAAGCACAGCTCAGAGGTTGTGTTTCCTGAGGCACTTACCCTGACCAACTCTTGACCTCCTGGCCACCACATCCCCTCCCCAAAGACACCACACAATTGTTTGCTCAGTCCCTCTGGAGAGCAGGAACCACATTCATTCAGTGTAAATGTGTGCTGGGCAAAGTAGGTGCTCAGCAAATGTTAGCAAACCAGAGCACAGAATGGGCATGTCACCTTCTCTCTGAGCCCAGGTAGCCCAGCCTGGCCTCCCAACACTTAGCTCCCTCCTTTCTCACCCCAGCCAAGAAACCAAGGATCTATGAGTGGGCTGTGAGCCTCGGCATTGCTCTGTTTCTGGCCATAGCTGGAGGTGGGTGAGTGACTTCTCTAAACCCAGCACCCCAAAGAAGACATGCCAAGCCTTTGACTGACGTGTCCTCCTCTTGTTTCCTGGCCCAGAGGCTACTTCGTCTGGCGCAGGAAAAAGATGAAGAAAATAGAAGAGGTACTAGGAAAAGAGACCCCTGCCAGAGACCCTCTCCAGGAAGGAAAAGTGAGTGTGTCTGGAGAGTAATGGGGCCTTGAGGCCCCAGCTCTGCTCTTCCAGGGTCTGGTATCCAGAGCAGAGTGGGATGGAGGACTGTGACTCAGGAGGCCACACATCAGCCCCCATGTACACAAACAGGGACATGGCTTAGGACACAGATGGCTCTAGGCCTCCTGTCCTTGTCCTCACCACAAAGTGCCCTCTATCGATAGCTGTCACTGCCCCCTGCAGATCCCACCACCATTCTGCCTTACTCCCTACACAGACCATCAACATAGCATGGCCACCATGTCTGGACAGTGGAGATTTGCAACAGGAGGAGTCTGCTGGGATAAAACACTCACTGCTTTTCTCTCTACAGGGTCAGGGCAGTCCACCTGACTCCCAAAATGGACAAAGGCCACAGCTGCTGGCAGACACTAATTCATCTCTGAGTTCTAGTAACTCTCCTTCCCATGACTCCCTCCATCTTGGGGAAGAGACAGTTTCGAAGTTCTAAAAGCCAGAAGACTCTACTCTTGTCTATGGTTTCTCTATACTGACCTTTTATAAATAGTCCCCTCATTAAAACATCCCTTCATATTCTGATTGACTTTGTCTTCTGCTTCCTGATTGCTATGGTTTGCATAATAGCTTGTCCCCCAAGAGTTCATATTTTGGAAACTTGTCCCAGTGTCCTGGGGACACTGGTTTTGGGAACTTTAAGAGGCAGGGTCTAATGGAGGGCACTATCCAATCAACTTGCAATGTAGGAAAGATAAACTGAGGAAGTGGGGAATTGGTTTGCGTTGCTTTTTGCACATGCCTTTGTCCTCCTTGCTACTGCTGTCAGTCACCTTGTGATGTAGCTCTGGAGGCCAGCCTGATGTAGCCACACACCTTTAGACTTTATGGCCACAGAAGCATGAGCCAAATAAACCTCTATTTTTTATAAATAACCCAGCCTCTAGTATTTCTGTTTAGCAACACAATAACAGACTAATACATGTTGAGGCAGGCCGCTGTCATCTCCACCACCAAATGCTGAGATGAGCTCTCTCCCCATGTAATGCTGTGTAACTATCCCATCTCATCCCCTCCCCCCAGTGACCTCCCTCTCCTCTCCAGGCTCACCCTCTCCTTTGTCCCAGTCACCAAATGGTATCTTTTCAGGCTCAACCAGACCTCACCTAATGCCAACACAAGAAACTAGAACAGGGGCCTGGATCCCTGGGGCAGGGGGTCCCGGTCTCTGAGTGTGGAAGAGAGAAAGCAAAGTGTACCTGCAGGCCAGGGAAGACAAGAGAATAACAGAAGACATAAGAAAACAGGTGCCTATTACCACCAAGAGCAAGGCCACCATGTCCTGGTCAAGATGTCCACCCTGGGGATACCCAGGTCCCCAGTAGGTCCCTGGTATTGTTCATAAATGAAACACCTAGCCTGACCTCTGGAAGAGAATTCTGCTCCTTCTGTTCCATACTCTCCATGCCCCTTTCCCCACAAGGATGGGAAGAACAGAAGACAGCAACAATTAAACTTCAGTAGCCAGGGGTAGCTGCATTAGCAGACTGGAGAGAGCCAAATCCAAAGTCAGAAAAAAGAGACCTTTCCGAAATTATGCCACAGAATTACAAAGCCAATGGCATACCAAAGGGGAGGGACAGGAGGTGGTGCTAAGAGAGGGCTCTGTGTGTAGAAAAAGTAAAATAATAACAGAGTTGAAGAGTCAATCTGCTATTACCACCATATGTGGGTAATAACACTTAAGCATTTTTTTTAGAGAATTGTTTTTTAACTTCATTTTATTTATTTATTTATTTATTTATCTATTTATTTATTTATTTATTTATTTTAATTTGACCAGAGAGGGATAGAGCAAAAGAGAGAGAGAGAAAGTGAGAAAGCAAGCCGCCAGGTTTGGGCCTCAAACCATAGTTGGCCATGTGGGAGTGCAGTGCCCTTAACCACCATACCATCCGCCGGCCCCACTTAAACACTATTACTGATCAAATTCTTCTCCCTTCCAGGCTTAACCTCTCCTCAGCCCAGCCCCCCCACTGCTCAGATGTCTCAGGAGCTGCAGCACCAGGGTCTTGTGCACTGAGGGTGGGTGAGTGTGAGGATAGAGGTAAGGGAGGGTGGAATGTTTAACATACTCCTCCCCATTTCATGACCCTAGAGACTCCTCTCCTCCACCTCTGTAGAAGCCTGGAGTGAGAGTGCCAGGCACAGGTCAAGAGAATTTTGGGCCAAAACAAGTAGCTAACTGATCGCTTGCACACACAATCAATGTAGAGACCTCTAGTCCTTGGTGCCTAGAGAATTGGCAGCAGGACTCTGACCCTTGTATTAACCATCTCTTTTCATCTTCTCTATTCTGATGTCTTGGCATCCGGGACCCTGCTGGCCCTAGAGGGGCCACTACTCCCAGGCTCACAGACTTACAGAGATTGCAAACAGCTAGCCTGTGAGTGCTCCTTCCTACTGCACACCAACCAGTCCAGAGCCTGTAGCCCCAACCAGCTCCTCCATCAGGCTCCCACACTCCAGACCATAATCCATGTGCTATAGCACTCTCAGGGCCAGGTACCAGAAATGGGGTCAGCCCCGCACCCTAACACTTGCTGAGTCAGTTCAAGCTACCCATCTCAAACGCACTGACACTGCCTTGCTTATTCCTTCCACAGAAACTGCAGTACAGGCCTTGCCTACATTTTCCCTCCCTCCCTCTGCCTCCTGACTGTCCCTGCTGTCTCTCCACACGGCTCCGTATGTGGGCCACATTTCTTGTTTCCATGAAAACTACAGGTTGAAAAAATGCTTCCCTCAATACAATGATTTGCATGCCTGTGTATCTTACTATTCCTAATAAAAACAAATTTGTTATCCTGAAGACAACTAGCCCAGTGAACATGGTGATTTGAGGCTCAACCTAGGCAATTTGTCCCTGTATTACTTTTGGCTTGCTAACTAGATCCAGCAGAAAATGGCCACCGCCTGAGAAGGCTCTACTACCCGTTGGCGCACAACTCCTGGACAGCCACCATATTGCAATGTGTCTACTAGATATTGCCACCATCTCTCACTCCCTCTGCCTCCTAACTTTCACTAGTGCCTATCCAGGTGGACTCCACGGTGTGATGCATCCTCCCGCCTTGACATCTGTGAGTAAAACAAATTGTTTCTTCAATGATACCTGCTCCTGATCTGGCTTGACTATACTAAAAATAATAAAATGCATATTTTAAAACAGCTTATCATATAAGATCTAAAAGAGTCCTCTTTGTGGACTCTACCCAGCTTAAAAGAAAGGCCAGAGATGCTGTCATCAGAAAGTCCCCAGTGAAGCTCCAAGCTGATAAGCCTTACTGATGCCCTCAGATTTCTACTGTCTATTTAGGCTCCCACTTTTTATCATGAATAGATAAGGATGCAAGATTTTTTTCATATTCTTTTAGAAATTTAATCATGTTATTTAGCTTACAAAGTGAGTATTCCAACATGTGTACATTTCTCCCTAGTCCAGTTGATAATACTATAAAATTATCTTCAACAGATAATACCACATTTCTTTGCCCCATTAATGCTTTTCCCCTCTATTATTCTTCTAAATGTCCTTCCTCAGACTCTACTCTTTCACCCACACTGTATCTGATATTCACAACCATTTACTGTGTTTCTATATATTTTCATCGATCAGGTTCAGTCATAGAGTGTGGACACTCGGTAAATATTAAGTGGGGACATACAATGCCTCTCCTTCATTGCCTGGTTTGCTTCACTCAGCAGTAAATTTTCCATATTCATCGACTTTCTGTCAAAAGCCAGGGTCTTGTTTTTTATGGCTGAATAGTATTCCATAGAGTATATATGTCACAGTTTTTCAATCCATTCATCTGTTCGTGGGCATTTGGGTTGGTTTCATTTCTTAGCAATTGTGCATAGTGCCACAATAAACATTGATGTGCAAGCACTTTTCTGATTAAGAATTCTACTGACCTTTGGGTAGATACCAAGGAGTGGGATTGCTTAATCATATGGTAGTTCTATTTGTAGGTTTCTGAGAAATCTCCAAATTGTTCTCCGCAATGGCTAGACTAATTTACATTCCCAACAGCAGTGTAAGAGAGTTCCCCTTTCACCACACCCCTGCCAGCATTTACATTTTTTGTTTTTTTAATCTAAATCATTCTGATTGGGGCTAGGTGGTATCTCCTTGTTGTTTTGATCTGCATTTCCCTTACAATGAGGAATGTTGAGCATTTTTTCATGTGCCTTTTGGCTATTTCGATGTCATCCCCAGAGTGGTTTTTTCAACTCATTCTCCCATCTTTTAAAAGGGTTCATCATCTTTTTTCGTAACAGTTGCTTGAGTTCCTTGTGTATTCTGGTTATCAGTCCCTTATCTGATGCATAGTTTGAAAAAATATTTTTACATTCTGAGGGCTGTGAAATCACACTAATTACTATGTTTTTTGCCATGCAGAAACTTTTTAGTCTGATATAATCCCACTTGCCTATTTTGGGAATTATCAACTGTGCTTTGGGGGTCTTATTTAAGAAGTCTTTCCCTCCACTAATGACTCCCACAGTTTCCCGTGTTTTCCAGGAGCAGTTTTATAGTTTGAGGTCTTAGATTTATTTAGATCTTTGATCCACCTTGACTTAATTTTTGTCAGAGGTGAGAGGTAGGGGTTCAGGTTCATCTTTCTGCAGGTGGAAATCCAGTTTTTCCAGCACCATTT